TAACATAAACAATAATAAAAATAAATTTGTTACTGAATATATGAACTCTAACTTACAACACACCTACCTCCTCCTTCTCCCCCCCCCCCCCCGCCCCACCCACGACGTCCCCTTCTCAAAAAAAAAGATAAAAAAGATGGGCCTTATTTCGCATGCCCCCCCCCCCCTGCAGGCTCTCCTAATCTCAATCATGTAGAGACATGTCCTTCACGCTATTGCTCTCTCTCTCTCTATCTGTCTGTCTATCTATCTATCTATCCATCTCTCTATCTATCTCTCTATCTATTTATCTCTCTATTACCTATCTATCTATCACGTATCTATTTCTCTCTTTCTCTCTTTCTCTCTTTCTCTCTCTCTCTCTCTATCTATCTATCTATCACCTATCTATTTCTCTCTTTCTCTCTCTCTCTCTCTTCTCTCTCTCTCTCTCTCTCTCTCTCTCTCTCTCTCTCTCTCTCTCTCTCTCTCTCTCTCTCTCTATCTATCTATCTATCACCTATCTATTTCTCTATTTCTCTCTTTCTCTCTTTTTTTCTTTCTCTCTCTCTCTCTCTCTATCACCTATCTATCTATCACCTATCTATCTATTACCTATTTATCTATCACCTATCTATCTATCACCTATCTATCTATCCTCTATCTGTCTATCCTCTATCTATCTATCACCTATCTATCTATCACCTATCTATCTATCCTCTATCTGTCTATCCTCTATCTATCTATCACCTATCTATCTATCACCTATCTATCTATCACCTATATATCTATCACCTATCTATCTATCACCTATCTATCTATCACCTATCTATCTATCCTCTATCTATATATCACTTACCTATCTATCACCTATCTATCTATCCTCTATCTGTCTATCACCTATCTATCTATCACCTATCTATCTATCACCTATCTATCTATCACCTATCTATCTAACACCTATCTATCTATCCTCTATATATCTATCACCTATCTATCTATCACCTATCTATCTATCCTCTATTTATCTATCACCTATCTATCTATCACCTACCTATCTATCTATCACCTATCTATCTATCCTCTATTTATCTATCACCTATCTATCTATCACCTACCTATCTATCTATCACCTATCTATCTATCATCTATCTATCTATCTATCACCTATCTATCTATCACCCATCTATCTATCACCTATCTATCTATCATCTATCTATCTATCTATCACCTATCTCTTTATCACCTATCTATCTATCACCCATCTATCTATCACCTATCTATCTATCACCTATCTATCTATCCTCTATTTATCTATCACCTATCTATCTATCACTTACCTATCTATCTGCCTCTCTATCTCCCTCGTGCATGCCGGTCGTGAGTCCCAGCTCGAAGCCAAGACGACCTGTGAACGAGGAGGTCACCACGACGACGACCCCCCGCAGTTCCTCGAGACTCGCCCAGAGCGTCCGTCGCGAATCGCTCAGGGGCGTGGGACTCGGAGAAATAGGGGAGGGGGGGTGGGGTGGAGTGGGGGGTATAGGTGTGTGTGTGTGTGTGTGTGTGTGTGTGTGTGTGTGTGTGTGTGTGTGTGTGTGTGTGTGTGTGTGTGTGTGTGTGCGTGTGTGTATATAAACATTTATATGTATGTATATGTGTGTATATATAAAAATCTCTCTCTCTCTCTCTCTCTCTCTCTCTCTTTCTCACTAAATATATATATATATATATATATATATATATATATATATATATATATATATATATATACATATATATACATATATATATACATATATATATATATATATATATATATATATATATATATATATATATATATATATATATATATATATCCCTTTAAGTCCCATGTACAGGTGAAGATTTTAGACATGTTTTGGGCCATTCTGGCAATACAAATTGTATGATAAATGTTTTTTTTATATACATCATATCTGTATATTTTCCCATCTATATCAGCTATTCATTAATCTCTCTATCTATCTATCTCCATTAATAATTACCCTCTTTCCTTTTCTCGCCATTTCTTCCTCTCTCCGCCTCAGCATTTTTCTCTCTCCCACACAAAGACACTTAAATACACTCCTATCCCCACAAAGCACATAAAAATCGGTCAACACGAAAGTACCTGCCACGCTCTCCCTAGCATTTCCTTATACAAGCGTGGAAAGTAGCTCACGACAACGCTTCGCTCTTTACCCATGCAGAGGGGGAAGGGGGGTTCGCCTTGACCCCAACCCTACCCATTTCCCCTATCCATAACCCTTCCTCTACGCCTACATACATACGCACCCACACACAAAGACACAGACACACGCGTACATTCACACACACACACACACACACACACACACACACACACACACACACACACACACACACACACACACACACACACACACACACACACATATATATATACAGCTGTATTTATGCGTATGCCTGTATGAGTGCTTTATGTGTAGTTTTCACAATTGTATAAGGAGCATATAGATGCATTTCGTCAGTACTTTTTGGAAATGCAAAAGTGTGTAATCATAGCTTATTTAGACTTTAAAATTACACAATCTGTTTAAGCTCTATAAGCAATAACATTTTTACACACACATAAAACAAGCGATATAAATGACAGCCATCGATCTCCTTTTAGGGTCACTTGTTGATATTTCATTCCTATGTATTGCGAAATTAGAAAGTTAATGGTTGACATTTTAAGTACTTTATTCAAACATATGGCAAGGATAGCATTAACATCACTTTATAAGGTAGTTAATCGAGAATATACGACTTGAATGAGTTTGATTCGCAATAGAAAACCCAAAAATAGACAAATTATCTAACAAAGAGGAAGTAGATAGACACCAGAGCCTCTGAGTAACTGATTTTTTTCAGTATACCATATACCATAAACCCCTTAGCTTTTTCTACTTATATCTGCTCTTTTGGTAATATTCGAACCTTACATATGTTCGCGTTGTTTACAGTTTATAGTTATATGTACAGTTCATTTCGGTAAGATTTACGAAGAGTTTGCTCCTTGGCCTAGATTACCTCAGCCATTAGGACCGACTCACCTCATTTTCATAACTGAATACTTATCATGGAGCCGGATTACCCTCTTTCCACCCCAGCCTGGACGAAGTAAGTGCCGGGCATGACCTATTCAACAGCCCGGCGGTGGAAGCCCTTGTCTGAGAAGGTGCGTTTGTTCACACTTCAGGAGGGAGTGCAAAAGGGTGGTCCTTGACGCGTTGCAGTGTTCACTAAAGAATTCGTTACTGTTACTGACGTTAGTTAACTGCCATGTACAGCGTTAGCCAGTCTTGGTGCCTCTTTAGATGATTTAAGAGCCAGTGATTTTGTATAACAGTTGGTCGAGGAGGAGGATCTCGTTTCCCGTCTGTGAAGCTGCATGACATCAGCTTGTTCTGCAGCTTTTGCTCTACGTCATAAGACCTCATGACATGGTTGAATGACCTGTTCATTCAGGGCTTTCTCCCTATCAGGTTGCGCAAGCTCATTTCTCTGAATGCCAGTGTGTCTATAGACTCTGCTGGTTGAAGCATCTTCCCTGACCGAGAATCCTCTTTGCTATGGTAAGAAGTGGTCATTATGTTTAATAAAAGCTTTATTTGGCTCTCTGAAATCATTATGGATGACGACATACCTAATGTGAAGTGTCTAGGGATCACAAAACACTTGCAGCGATGGGGCGTTGTCTGACACCCGCACTGAAACACTGTCAGACGCCTGTTCCATTCGTGAAGTGTGTTACTCACTTGATGACGTAGGAGATGCAGTAGTTCATCCCGCGTCTTCCTTCAACTGAGGGAGCACTCTCTCTCTTTTCATCAAATACATAACCTAGAACTTGATAGCATACTTTACAAGGAAAGGCACACAGTAACTGGTCTCTGGCATATTAACACCAGGTTGGGAGGAGCTGCTACTTGTAGGCAAACAGTCATGAGCTAATTCGTGGTCTCTTATTGCTTGCTGAAATACATGTGCAGTCTGAATGCGCCACTATCGCATCAGTAAGAAGGATAATATTTTCCTTCCTTTTAAAGGCAATTAGAATTACCCTGGCATCCCAAATTCCCACCCTTTTATTAAGGCGACAGAAGTGTTTACGTGGACAAATTGCGTGTATGTAAAATGATCGAAACTCATGTCCGGTTCATTCGCGTCACTGCTCTCATGACCGAGAGTCTTATTCTTGTGCACTCGGCCAGAGCAGACCCTCCTTTCGGAATGTATTTTTCTAACCTTCACAATTCCAAAGGTATCCGCAGACCTATAATCCCTCTAGGTCTAGTCACTAGACAAGAAGTCACGTACCTTAGATATTAATTTAAAGAATCTGTGGGTTTTGAGATAGAGATGCTTAACCCTACAGTTGCATAACAGCGTTAGTATCTGCATAGGAGATACACTACGTCAAGTTGAAGTCAGTAGCCTGTTGGCAATTTGAAACACGAACAGTGTTCATTGTGACAAGTGTGGAAAAAGTTATAAATGAGAATGGATGGTTTCACAGCGCAAGAGATGTATATGACGTGTTTCAGTTATATCTTCAATACTGTATTCATCCTTTTTTAACATGGGATACGTATTATATCGTCATAAATTTGTAGAGTCAATCAGTAATAACCCTCGGGTGTGTACATGTGTGTACATGTGTGTGTGTGTGTGTGTGTGTGTGTGTGTGTGTGTGTGTGTGTGTGTGTGTGTGTGTGTGTGTGTGTGTGTGTGTGTGTGCGTGTGTGTGTGTGTGTGTGTCCGCGCGCGCATGTGTATGTGTGTGTGTTTTTGTGTGTGTGACAAAGCCAAACACACGCGTATATAAACATGAATAATAAAATATAATCTTATTCAGTCAACCCTTTCCCCAAAATCCATTTTCTGTAAACACGAACGAACGACTTAAAAAAAAACAGTCCCTCCTCTCGCCAAAAAACAACAACAGTCCCTCCTCTCCTCAGCCCCGTTTTCTTCGACGACTTTGTTTACTCGAATCAGCTGACTCTTCCTCCTCGGACGCCAAAGGAAGGAGCCAAAGATGGGGAGTTTGTTTTCTAAAAAGCCTCAGAGCAAAGTCACGGAGCAGGACAGGGCTGTGTTGGTGGGTGGATTTAATACTTGTGGATGAGATTTTCTTATTTAGATGTTGTTTTTTTTATAAATATGTTGTTTTGATGTTTAGTAACGTCGATTGGGTTGTGACTTTTGCTTCTTTTGGGTACTGTCTTATAAAGTACTATTGTTATACTGATGTTAATTTTGTAACTGTGTATATTTAGTTATTTGTGATTGTCTACGTGGCATGTAGATATGTCCAAAGGTTTAGAATGATTACTAATGTTATTGGATTTCTTTCCTTCCATACGAAATAAAGTACTGTGTCAATCTTCTGTCATCACGCACTTCTTTCTTTTTTTTTCATCAACAGCAAAACAGTTTTTCAGGATATTTACACACACCCGATCGTAGTGATATTGGTGCCATTGGATTCCTGATACCTTCTCCTACTTGTATATATAAATATATTTAGTAATTATGCCACAACCCGCCCATTATTATATCTAAGGAAGGGCTGTGCACCAACTCCCACCATGAAACACAAAGAATTTGCCTTATATTCATGCCAATATGGAACCTGCAACCATCAAGTAAGGTGAAATATAGAGGAAGATATGATGTACATCCTATGTAACTCCCCTTCAGTCTCCCATGTAGGGCTGCCACCCCATTCCCTTCCCTAGGACATTATCTCCCTGCATTATATGAATTGATGCAAGTATTCACAACCTTTGATCAATCTTACACTACAAACACTGCTATAACTACATAAAGGATTTTTTGTGTTCTAAGGCAGGGGTAGGTCATGGCTAGACTATATTCCATGTGTCATGTGCATGCATGACATGGTGCACTGATCCCATTTTCCGGGGGCATGTATGGTCATGCCACGCACGCTATGGTGACAACACAATCCTCCGCCAGTGGGGTCCGGGCCACTATGAAAGCCCAGGAGAGAGGACTTTCGTATCGGAAATCCACCTGGCAGCATGGGGTTATTGTTATTAATATTATTATTACATATATATATATTTTTTTTCTCTCTCTCTCTCTTTTTTTTCCCTCCAATCTGACCTGGACCCATTTTTTTCTGCAGCATTATTCCTACATGTATGAGAAGTAGAGGGTGAGAGGAATCTGGTGTGCGTGTAGGTATTCTAAACATTTACTGACGGGTAATCAATTAAAGCATCATTTCATTGTGCTGAAAACTGATTTTTCTACAGAATATCTATTTGTTTATATGAGTAAAAACAATTTTGCTAAAGATTCATTAACAGTCATAACCGAGAATCCAAACCCGTAAAATATCACTAATTATCACTTTTTTTACTACTTTCCTTTATTGAGGAAGTGGATCACATGGCCCAAAATACAGGCATTAAGCTTACATGAGTGGCCACTTTTTTTTTGCCATTTTCCAATGTCAATATTTCTCATTTACTTTCCTGTAAACAGAGGGTAATAGACTGTTTTCTTTGCACAGACTCTACATCATATCCGTATGTAGTCCATAAATCTGTGCAATAATAATAACAATAAGTTTTTTTTCTGTAAAACAACCTGCTTCAGGAATGCTGAGGATGGAAATAGCATAGTTAATAGAAATAGTTAATACCAATTTTGATGATATCTGTTATTTTCATCAAGTATACATTACTATCTGAGAATTATTGATATTAAAAGCTTTATTGGTTCTTATACATATCTTTCAGTCCTTTATAAAGCTAAGGTTAAAATAGGAAAATTGAGAAACATTGACATTGACATTGAGAAACATTGATTTGATTTGATTTGATCTAGAATGATCATTGGGTACATCTTCTTGCTTGAGAGTAGGATACTTTAGATAATAATATATATTTGGTTGATATAAAAATGATACAAAGGTCAGGTTTATTTTAAAACTATATTAAAACTACATTCAACTAAGTTCCAAACTTTAGACAGATACATTTTTTTATGTTTAAAATACCAAAGCATCATGCCATAAATCTTTATTTTATCCCATTCTTAAAATATTAGATTTTTTGGGGGGTGACTTCACTGTATATGATTTCCTTCTTCCTTTTCCTTCCATATACTTTCAGTGATTTTCTCCTTTTTTGCCGATTTGTTGAAATGCAATATATGCAGTTAGATTCAGGATATACACTACCCATATCTCTAATCTATTGATCCTTATGTTGATATTAGATAAGATTAGTGATTACCTGGGTCAGTAAGTAAAGTAGCTTTGAAATTTACTCAATATGGATTTATGCTTTTATTTATATTTTGTCCATGAAATTTCTTGATAGTCTCTGCTCTTGATATTATTTAACATTACAAATTACAGACTTTTTATGTTATTTAGTACATACGTCAAAATCATGCGTTTCTATTTTTCAACTTTTTCCTTTGTTTTCAGCAATTGAAATCAACGAGAGATAAGATCCGGCAGTACCAGAAAAGATCAGAGACAACCCTCGAGAAGGACAGACAGCTCGCCAAACAGCTCTTGCAAAATGGGAAGAAAGAGTAAGTTTTTGAGAAAGTCCGATATTTTATTCAGTTTCTGTTCCTGATAATGGTGTGTTTGGCATGTTTGTTTAAAGTCAGATTCAACTAGATTTCTCTTTTATATTCGAGTGTGATTTTTGCTCATTAGCTCTGCATATGCATTTTGTGGGGGAGGGGGAGGGGAGTGGGAGAGGGAGAGGGAGAGAGAGAGAGGGAGAGATGAGCAAAGAATGGGAACATTTTAGCATTCACTGTATCAGTATAGCATAAATGGCAGGATAAGTATGGATGGATGTCACTAATATGACTAAACTCTTTAAGGATATTGAGGCAGACATACGAGACACAAAGGTATCAGTTGAAATAAAGCCAAAATGCTATCAGTATTGATAGAAAGAAAAAAGATATTTGAATTTTGTCATATATATTGTTCCCAATATTTGCTAATGAGGACATGAAAAAAATACATCATTTTTTAATCTGCTTTTTTGGTTCCATTCTCTTGTAATATTATACATAAATTATTCTATTCATACCGGAGATTATTAATTCTATTCAAAATATGCTTAGTATACATTTTAGAAAGTTCCTTCACATGGAAGTAAATGGAAAGATGGAATGAAAGAAGTGGTTATGAAAAATGTTAGGACTTTAAAAGTATTAAAAATGCATAAATACAGTGGTAAGAAAGTGGAATTTCAGGAATTAGTTTTTGTTATGAAAGCTTTGTGGTGTAGAAACTTGTCTTTTCTCTTAAAATGTAAGAGATAAAGACATCAGCATTATGTAATATGATATACACAAAAAAATGGAATTGTGCTTGTGTTTATTCAGGATAGAGAGTTTTAGTTAGAAGTGCAATATTTGCATATTTTGCTTAAATTTTTTTCTCTGTCAGTATTATTGTTGGTTCTCATTTGATTTTGTAGCATAATTGATGATTTTGTATTACTCTTTCCCATAAACAGTCGGGCCAAGCTTCTGCTGCGGAAGAAACGCTTCATCGAGGAGCAACTCACAAAGACAGATGGAACGCTTGAAAATATTGAAAAGATGATACAGGACATTGAATTTGCTCAGATTGAAATGAAGGTTTGTTTCAAAGCTTTGCTTGTTTCATTTTGCTTGTTTCTTCATTTGGGGAAACTAGGATGTGTGTGTGTGTGTGTGTGTGTATATATATATATATATATATATATATATATATATATATATATATATATATATATATATATATATATATATATATATATATATGTATATATATATTTATATATATGTACAGATAGTCTCCTACTTAAGAACATTCTACTTATGAACATTCCATACATACAAACAAAAAAATTTTAAGTACAAAAGTCCAAAAAATTGTTTGAAAGATGCTAGCAAACTTCAAATTTCCCGGGCACAAATATAGTTCAAGAGTCTGGTACTGTATAAGGTATGTCGTACTTATTGGGATTTATTTACAGGTATTCTTAATGTAAACAAAACTCTAAGACAATGGGAAAAAAGGTAATGGAGACCCGACTTTCTACAAATCAACTTACAAACAGCCTCTCGGTCCCCATTATGTTCTTAAATTGGGGACTTACTGTGTGTATATATATGTGTGTGTGTGTGTGTGTGTGTGTGTGTGTGTGTGTGTGTGTGTGTGTGTGTGTGTGTGTGTGTGTGTGTGTGTGTGTGTGTGTGTGTGTGTGTGTGTGTATAATTTAAAATATGTAATACATATAAATGAGAAATTTCCATTACAGTGATACTAAAAGTTCAAAAATGTATTGTATGATATTAGTTTGCAACTTTTATACATCCACAGACCCTCTCTGTCTGCAAATATATCATAGAGATACGCTTAGCCCAAGGATTATAATGGTTCACACATATCTAACTTTTGTGGATTCATGCATTTATCTATATCGATCCTCCAGTCAGATTGAATACTAAGCAGAAATATCAGTTAGAGAAATCCCAGGGCTCTCTAGCAGCTCTTTGCAACCTCCATTGTGTGTGTGTGTGTGGGGGGGGGGGGGGGGTATCTGTTTAGCAACCTAATTCATTATTATACAATTGACACCCCAGTGATTGAGTGAATATAGGAAGCTTTGAGGTCTACAATGTCCCTTCTTAGTTTCCCAGATTTTTGTTTTTTAATCAAAGAATGCAGTATAATTTTTTTTTATGCAAATTTTATTTTTGAAAATAATATCTTTTGAATCTATAGATAATTTACTCCTTTTTCTCCGCAGGTTGTCGACAGTCTGAAGGTAGGAAATGAAGCCCTGAAACAGATCAACGAAATGCTCAGTATTGAAGATGTGGAGCGCATCCTTGACGAAACACAGGAGGCAGCAGAGAAACAGAGGGTATGTTATAATATGTAATTGTGTATGTTAGTTTGTTATGATTATTCAGGATTCTCCTTGTACTTTCATAGTTATGTTATCATCATTGGATATAGTAGTTGTTGGTACTGTGAGTATTATTCCATTTGAGTTTATTGTGTTTAATTTGTTTTGTTTACCTTTTGTTATTCTTTTTGGGGTATGTAGTAAAACACTCATGAATTTGTGTGAATTCGCACTTACACAGGAAACTGATTCCTTCAGAAAACATACTCATTTTTCGTGTATTTTGGGTTTTATACACTCAGCTTATGAATATAGTTTTCATTCTTTTATATATTTCATATTTCAGTGACTTCTCATGATAGTATCATAACCTTGCCAGTAGATACAAAAATATAACCAGCACGACACATTTTCAGGAAATTGACGCGCTGCTCAGTGGAGGCATACTGACAGATGAGGATGAATCTGCAGTCGAGGAGGAGCTTGACGCCCTCATTGCTGCCGCTGTTGAGAAGCAACTGCCCGAGGCTCCCACGGCAGCGGAAAACCCAGAGGTCGAACTTCCAGATGTTCCAGAGACTCTTCCAGGTATGGCTGTATTTTGGAAGGAGAGAAAACGGAGGATGCAGGAAGGAAGATGAAATATTTGATTTTTGGCTGTAATTGTTTGAATTAGTAGTATTACATGATTGGTATATTGATTTACGGAACTATTAAGGGAAACCTTCTTTAATAGTTTTTAAACTGCATACTTTGTTTCATTGTGATGATTATTTAAATTACCAAAGTTATCAATGAATTGTTATTTTGTTTGAAAGTTACTTGTTATTTGTTGATATACAGTGTAGTATATTATTTTAGTATTGTAAACAGCCTTTATTACAGGATTTTTAAAAGGCAGAGGTTAAAGGACTATTTTTTGTTTTGCTTTTCATAACATGCTTTTTTAACTTTTAACACTAGATCATCATTTAGTATACTTTGGCCATAAGATATTGGATAAGTGATACCAGTTACTTTCTTCTTCCTTTTTCTTTTCTATTCCATTTTCTTTTTGTTTTCATTTTATTTTTCTGTTATTTCCTAATAAGTTCATTCCAAAGCCCTTCCTTCTTGCTAACAGCCATGGTTATAAGAAATGATAAGCAAGTAATTCATACTGAAAAGATGTATTAAATGTATTAAATGTATTAAACCCATTAATTGCTACTGGAGGCACCCATTCTCTCCTTTCCTTTTTGACACTCACTTTTGTCTGTATTGCAATCATGAGTCAGTACCTCGCCCTACCATCAGTATATGCCATGTCAGGAATTTACACACAACTAAACATTGATGGTAAACAGTTGAGTGACTGCATATGAACATGGATAGGAGGACTGGTTCATTTCAGTATTCATTATTTTCTGTGGCATCATCTGCTTAGCAAATAGCAGGGCAGCCTGTTGTTGAGTGATGCAGGGTAGCAGATGTTTAACCCAATGTCAGTGGGCTTATTTACTGTCCCCTTTAGATTTTAGTGAGTTTTGTTACATACAGATGGCTCCATGTGTGCTCAGCAGCAATGAGTCTATCAGTTGGCACTAGTGACCGATCCTGATTTCTCCATTCCTTGAATTGGCGGGAAAATCCATTTTTCTTTCCAATATTCCAAATGTAAACACACCAAACGTGAGGCTATACTGTACTTAATAGCCTACACCACAATTTTTTTGTTGAGAACACGTTTTCATACATACATGCTTTTCTTTTGTTAGATCTTTCTTTCTTTCATTCTTTCTTTTTTTTTTATCTATTTTCTTCATCACATTTTGTCCTTTCATTCACAGAGCCTGCCAAGGAGAAAGTCAAGACCAAGGAAAGGGTTGCCATACCTGCCTCATAATCCAGTGCCGTACATGTCGCAAGGATTCCGAGGAAAGGGTATTGGTTTGGGTTTCAAGAAAAGGCTACAGGCATGTGTGGAAATGTGGGAATTTAAGAGCCTTATTCATCTTCAATTTCCACCTTTGTCCAGTCTCTACGTGTATGGAATGGTATTTGTAACAAACATCGGAAATGGAAAATCATCATGGTGCAATGTATTTTTTTTTCTTTCTTTCTTTCTTTCTTTTTTTTCTTTTCTTTTTTTTCTTAAAGTAAAAAAAATAATAAATCATGATTCGTACTACATGTTGTCCATTTAGATAGTTGTGTAATAGAGATTTTTATATGTATCTTTGATTAATGTGAATTAGTTATCTCAGTTTTATTTATGCTCAGTTAAGATGTGGTTTCAGTTGACTTTTTTATGAGAAACATGATTCCAGTATCTCAAGGGAAAATATAAGGAAAAACACTGTTAACTTATTAATTATGTATGATGTTTCTTGATCTCTGTATCATAAATCTAATTAATGCATTTCTTTGGTATAATTAATCGCCGGTACTATGGTTTCTTGTTGTGCAGTTGCAAGCTTTAACCCCCCCCCTCCCCTAGCTACAATTGCAAGAAATGCACTGATATAACCATTATGTAACACAGCTTGTAATGAGAAAGGTGCAGTGACCATATTCAAATTGAATGCCTTTTATACCTCTGTTTAAGGAGAAAATTTTGCCTTTTTTCTGCCTCAGAAACTAGGTTAAAAAGAAGTACTAGTTATATTAAGTTTAGCAGGCAGGATGTGAAATTTAAGAAACATGCATATTTTACTAAATGTTCTTCAAATAAAAAAGAATTCACATGTATGCTACCATTATATGTCCATTGTCAATGGTTGTATCTAGTCGCCATATATTCAAAACAGAAAAAAAAATATATAAATGTACTGAATGTTTTATACTTTGCCTTATTATAAAACTTTCTCTTGATAAATAGATATGATATATTTGTATGAGGTACACGAAAATAAAAAAAAAGCTGAAACA